TCGGCCAGCGTCTAGTCGCACCGATGGCCGCCACATGTCCTCATTCAAACCTTAGCCATCGGATCCCAACAGTCACTTAACGTTCAACGCCATAGTGAACGAGTGACCAGACGTGCCGCTCTAGTGACCGGACTCCAAGCCTCTCAGTGTTAGATCGACTCTAGAAAGGTTCCAGAGCTGATAAAAGCTAACCAGACGCACCTGGTCAAACATGACCTGATGCACCCCGGTGTTCGGTCTCCACTGGCCTCCTCTCTGCGCGCACGACGTCAGTGTATTTGCTTTACTCCTACGCGTCCGGTCGCTTCATTGCTCCTGCGTCCGATCGCGCCACCGAGCGTTGTGCATCCACTACTGTGCGTGACCGAACGTGACCCGCGTTAGGTCCAACATCCGATCACGTTCCCTACGCTCTCGGCCAACGCTGCATCACCTCGCTATAAATGATCGGACGCACCAGGGTGAGTCCGGTCACCCCGCGGCCAGTGGCCGGTCGTGGACTTTCAGCTCCTTTTCTTTTTCTAAGTCCACAACCACTTCGCCCTTGCTTCCAACTTACTAATCACAAAGTGTAGAACTTGTGTGCACGTGTGTTAGTATTTTTAAAGCATTTTACAAGTTTCAAAGTTAGCACACTAGGTTCCTAAATGCATATGCAAGAATCATGTCACCTAGTGGCACTCGATAAACCGTTTCGCTAAAGATTTCCTCTCTTTATAGTACAGCTATCGATCCTAAATCACTCACACCCTCTATGGTGTCTTGAGTGCAAACCAAAAATGGCTCCTATTATTATACCTTTGCCTTGAGCCCATTTTTGTTTTTCTCTTTCTTCTTTTCCAAATGTGAAGCACTTGATCATCTCTTTTGTGGCCATCACCTTCACCATGACCATCTTCTAGCTTCACCGCTTGGGTTGGACCACCTTATCCAATTCATACACTTGGATCAAAGGTCAGTCCTAGGTTTCATCAATTAACCAAAACCAAACTAGGGCTTTCACTTGGGTAGCCTCTAAGTCAAGGCCTCCATCGTGGTTCCCATCCCGTAGTGGGTGGAATCGTACATGTATCTCGTCGAGCCGTACGTGGACGGTGAGTTGTTGTGCCGGCTGTTACCGCTTGAGTGGTATTGTCTTTTCCCTGCGGCGTGACAGAGATGGTGTCTGACCGGACCGAGGTGACCATTGTCCCCTCGGTCCTTGTGAGGTCAGTGCGGCATGCCTGCTCGTGTCAGAGTTGGTACTCTTGGCGGGACTTGGTCGCTTTTCGTCTCTCCTAGAGATCGTGGTGGAGAGATCGTGAGCTGTTACCTCGGTGCGTGGCCAAGGTAGGGGGAGAGGTCGTGGTAGGCCTTGGTGTCGTCACTTGGCCTGTCCTTCGCAGTATAATTGGGCTTCGGTCGTTTGGGCTTATACTGCTAGCGTATTCGACCTACCAACTAATCGATGCCTTGAGATACCTGGGGTATCATAACCCCGACACGTGGTGTCTTTGGCTGGCCGCAGGAGATGATGTCCCGGCCAGCAACGACCTCCTATTGGTGGCGTTGGGTTGGTGGTGGCTCGATGACGCTGCAGCCGCGAGGGGCGAGGTGGATGGGGCGCGGTGCGACCGGCGATGGGGTGCATCGTGGTGGGGGGAAGTGCACAGTGCAGCAAGGGGCAGGGCATGGTGGGGAAGGGGGCGTGGCAGGACGGAGTGGTGCGGGCGGGCAGGAGTCTGAAGAAGAGGCAGAGTAGGAGGCAGCGCCGGTAGAGGCTGAGAAATGAGTGGATAAGAATTAACGTAGAGAATGAGTGATTGATATGAGCCTGGAGTCCGTCCGATATTTCTGGGAGCGTCGGACGCTCAGATTGGAGCGTTTCCGAAAATAATTTCCCTGACAGTACGTTCTACGCATTGGCAAATAACTCATTTTATGTTATGAGGAGTTGGATGAGCAGCGTGCAGCTGATCGCCGACAGTTGAAAGGTGGCGGTGCGGCGGCGAGGGCCTCCTCAGGCAGTCCAGTACCGCCTTGGAGCTTGATGACTCGTCTCTACGCCGCCGCGTATGCGTTTCGACATCCTGGGCCATGTGAACAGGTTAGAGGTCTCTCAACAAAAAATATAAAATAATTTTTAAGAGCTACCATCTCTGTTCCAAAAGGCATGGTGATTTTAGTTTTGTTCGCAAAATTCATTTTTTGCATTTTCATGGAATTATTTCATGATTTAAGTCAATTTCAAAATCCGTCAGATAATCATTTTTTATGAAGCGTCAGCTAAATCATTCGTCGATGCTCGTAGGGGTAGGGTTGTTCACAGGGTATCAGTGTTGTGCTTGTTGTTCACAGGGACTATTTCTTTCCAAATTCATTTTCTGTCGTTTATTCGTTTAGCTCGTGTAATTCAGATTCTAACTGTCAAAATCTATGCCCTGAAATCTATGAAACGAAAGTGGCTGAAGACAATACTTATACACATTTGGATTTCTGCTTCATGACCAGTGTGCATACGACAACCTTTATTTTCCCTTTAGACAAATGGATTGCGTAGCATATAGCAAACAAAGGACAAGGCAGCAACCAGATGCCTGCATGGCTGCATACACACAAGCAATTGCATCTTCACATTTTACATGGACAGAGGAAACTCAGACATATTAGAAACGTTTCTCTACTACTCATTAAAATAACAGTATCCAGCCTTCCAGGATTTCCAGAATAGCTAACAAGTTCATAAGTCATAACTAGTGCAAAAGATAACAAGTAGCAACGGGACACAACTGATAACTGAATGGAAAGAGAACCCGATTTGTAAACTCTCAGGCTAATTCAGAGCCACTATTAATTAATCAAATCAATCAGGTGGGGGATTCTTCCTGAACTCCAAAACCAGGCAAAACACCTCCCTCAACTTTTAAAACCTTTCATCTTACCTCCCTGACCCTGTTATAAGCAGTTTTGATCGGTTTGGTCTTTTTCTTTTTTATTTATTTTGGCCGAATATTTGAAAAATCATAATAAATCAAAAAAAATCATAAAATAGAAAATCCAATTTTGTTGTACTCCACATGAGTAGATCTACACAGTGAACATATAATATGGTAAACTTTAGTACAAAGTTTTTGTTGTGGCTTTAGATATATGTTTTTTTGTAATTATTTGGAATAATTTATAGCTGCAGTTTCTATGGTCCAATTATGATGAAATTTTTATGGTGGGCTAATTATTGTATGATTGAACTGTAGTAAAAAATTTCATAATCATTGGATCATGTATAGCTTAGTTATAGATTTATTTATATTTAACAAGCATAAACCTAAATAAAATCTATAACTAAGTTATACATGATCCAATGAGTATGAAATTTTTACTATAGTTTCAACATACAATAATTAGTCCACCATAAAAATTTCACCACAATTGGACCATAGAAACTGCAGTTATGAATTATTCCATTTAATTACAGAAAAGCATAGATCTAAAGCTACAACAGAAACTTTGTCTAAAGCATACCATATTATATGTTCACTCTGTAGATCTACTTATGTGGAGTCCAATAAAATTGGATTTTCCATTTTATGATTTTATGTGATTTACTATGATTTTTCAAAGATTCAGCCAAAATAAATAAAAAAGAAAAAGACAAAACCGCCTTAAAACCGCTTATAACCGGGTTAGGGAGGTAAGATAAACGGTTTTAAAAGTTGAGAGAGGTGTTTTGCCTAGTTTTAGAGTTCAGAAAGGAAAAACAGACTTTCACAAAAGTTGAGGGAGGTAATGTGAATTTTTTTTCCGTAGAGATATCACGTACTGGAACTTTGGGCCAAAATGATGAAGCTTACAACTGGCCTAACAATTTCTTCCAATTTCAGAATTTTGCCCTCGTTTGTTTTGAGCGACTATACAGCATTTCCTATCCAAAATAATAAAAAAAACTGACGCGCATTTGAGTGTTGAAATTGGACTTCAGTTATTGTTTTACTGAATATAAATTTGTTCACGTCAATTCCAGTTCCAAATTCTTCTGTTTGGTAACCATTACGAATTAAATTTTGACTCTTTTTTCTCACAGTATAGTTTTTTTTATAGACATTAGTCTCACACACATTTCCTTCCAAATTCGAATTCCAGAATTCCAAAAAAAAACATAATCTAAACAGGTCGGTTCAAAAGCAAAAAAGAATAGACAGAAAGCTGATCTTGAGTACACATAGTGGGTTTCCCCTTCATATTCCAAAAGCATGCATCAACATTTCCTTCAGATACACGCACTATTTAAATGCAGATGGAACGTTACCAACACCTCATTCAGACAGGGAAAAAGGAGTGTTCAGACCAGGGCACCACTCTCAACGAGAAAAGTGCCTTATTTCAACTACTAAGTGCTAGTACCATAGTGACATCTGTTAGTTGATCTCTATCCCGGTCAATTGGGCCCTTGGATCCACACCCTGATCAGGGGCGTCCAACCCTACATGGTTGGTGGGCCCCCATCACACCGTGCTATAAAAGAAAGGTGGGGCCGGCGGCTCAGATCACGAGGTTGAACGAGCTGCAGTCGCCCCACCGACGCAACCCTAATCCGATCTAAGAGAGGGTGCGCAGCCAGTGACGGGAAGCACCGCCACCGGCCAACGCCGCCACTGCACCGTCACCCTTCGACACAGTGCCTACACCGAGTCTTCACCAAGCGCCGCGATGGCCAGCCCGTCTTCCTCGAAGGTAGCCGATGGTTTGCAATTCTTCCACCCCTCTCCCTCTCACTCGATCTGTTAATCCCATACTGGTAGATGTTCTAAGACTCGCTGTTTACTCCAAATACAAGTACACCTCATTCAAACAGGGAAAAAGGAGTGTTCAGACCGGGGCACCACTCTCAATGAGAAAAGTGACTTATTTCAACTACTAAGTGCTAGTACCATAGTGGCATCATCTATTCGAATGCAGAAGTCTTCCTACCAGCAACATAGGGCGGGCACAGATCACTATCCGTCTAAGTAGAGCATGCTCGGTTACACCCAGAATGGCTGAAGCTTGAGACACAGGCCCCTGCTGTACACAAGGTCAGGGTTAGTGGAATCATCCCAAACTGCATCTGCATCATGACCCATCCCATGCAAGACCCAGGGTTGACTGTCATGGGCGTAGTACAGGCAGTTGCTTCTCCCGCGCCATCGTCCTAGGCTCATACAAGAGAATGTCGGGCTGTTCACATCACGCCCCATAAAGCGGGCATCATTCTCCAGCTTGACCACCTCCACCCAACTTGCAGGTTCAGTGGACATGTCCAGGCAGTAGGCTTTGTAGTTGACAGGTGCTCCAGATGATGCGAGGCTCAAGCTGTAGTGAACAATTAGAAGCATGCCGCTACATACCACCAACGATGGTTGTGTATATGGGTATCCATGTATGTCGTCCAACCACACAGTTGCTATCTCCTGCAGACCAAGCTGGGGGGCCAAGGACAGAGTGTAGAGCCTGTGGTAGTTGTCCCTCGCGATAAACTGACCATTGAACTCTACAATCTGCACAATCACTGAATCATTAAGATTGAGCTGTAGTTTTGACCAAGAATCACTTCCAATCAGCCAATCAAGCAGGAACGGACCGCTCTTTTCTGGTAGCGCACAAACTAGGAGGTGTGAGTTTGGTGATGCAAGGGGAGTTGTCAGCATGCCATAGTACAAATAAGTGTTGTTGGTAAATGGGAGGTGTGGAGATAAAACTTTGGCACCAGTGAACACATCCATGATAAGACAATTTCTGCCATAGCCACAAATCAGCTGGCCATAGGAAGAGCCGGCAAAGCACAACTTCTCAAATGTCTCTTCAAGAACCTGGCAGCGAAGGGTACTTTTCATGTTGGCTGGATCAAGGACCTGGCACGTGTCGAGCTTGTGACCATCGTCACTTCTGGAGGGTAGATTAGGAGCATGGACAGTGATATGGGGCTGGACGAGGAGAGACGGGAGCATGGTGCATAATGTGGATTTAGATGGGTATGAGGAGAAGGCAGCACGCCAAGAGCGGCAGGTTCCGGCGAAGGCAAGGAGCTCAATGATGGAACCCAACAGAGGAACGACGGAATGAAGCAGACCTTCTGGGAGATCTGCCCACCCTTGAAGCCCATACACAGCAGGGATTGTAGTGGAGGTAGAGGCACGTGTGATTTTGCTAGGGCTTTGCATGATGTCAGACTCTCTGCAACAAAGTAAAAAAAATGAGCAAGTTGGAACTGAATCGATTCAAAAATGAAGAATAGACAGTTAACTTGCTAGAGACTTAGGTGACCTGCAAACATTTTAGAATATGTGCTATACAAGAGCTACTTTTTAAGTTGATATACACTGTTACAAACAAGGAATTCTATTCGCTGGGTAAATCCTAATGTTCAGGCTAAGACAGATTGACAATGGAAAACCAGTTTTTATCTAAGTCTGGTTTCAATTCAAACTTTTCTTCCAATAGCCAAAACCCATGTCTATTTTCAGAACATGATATTTAGGATGGCCTGCAGTAACTTTAGTGAAGCATGAAACAAAGGTGAAAAGTATGGCAAAAAAATGCGCAATTATGCTCTGAAATACAATTTCGTGTACCCTTCACAGATCCACCATGGCATACAAAAAATATTTTCAGTATCCTGGGTTTACTCCCCACCCCCCAAAAAAATTAACATAAAAGTGGAGTCTTTTATCATAGCATTGTTAGTCATGGGGCATAGCCATCTGTTATAGGGGTCATTCATCAAAACTCAGAGGATGATGCTGCCAAAATTCCTTTGCTTAGTTTGCATTATAAGAAACCAAAGATAAGGCACAGATGTGCCAAATGAACCAAGCCAAAAAGACATTAGGGACTACAAGAGGAAAAAGTCTACATAACCCCCTCACCTATTGCGACTCGACTACTTTACCCCATAACCTATAAAACCAGGTATTTAACCCCCTTACCTTTGCAAAACCGGTCAAATAACCCCCCACAGTGGTTTTGCATAGCAGGTTTGCCACGCTGGCGCGCTGACGTGGACTTTGATGCTGATGTGGACGAGTGAAAACTAGACCCCGCTTGTAAGTGGCGCCCCTTCTCTCACCTATTGGTGGTCCCCACCCGTCATCCTCTACCTCCAGCTCCTACCTTACATCCATGTTGGGCGAGGGATCACCAACCACTCTTCTAGATCGCTCGGTTACCCACTGTAATTTCTTGCTGGTTCCCGACCGGCTTTAGTACTAAGAGCTACGAACGCTGAAGAAATCGAGCTAGCTATGCACACATAAGAAACGACGTTGCCGTCATGCCGGTGCCGCCATTGCTTGCATGCGCCGACGATGCACACGACGAACGGACCGGATGCCGGATCAGCCCCGCACGACGCCCCGGCTTGTACCCAGCGCGGGCGGCCAGGCCGGCGCTGCCCACAGCGATGCTGCGGGCCCTGCGCACAGCATGGCTGGCGACGCGCATGACGTCATCGGCGCCAAACTCGCACGGCGCGTCCTCGTCGATCCGCCCCACTACCACGCTCCGGCTGCGCACCGGGAGTCTGGGACCTTCGACTTCGCTGCCGCCATGTCATTGCCTCCGCGTCCGGCCACTGCCTGGCGTGGACGAGCTCATTGACATCATCACCGCCGTGGCGCCAGGAGCAGGAGCTGAACATCCAGGCCTCCATGGTCCCCGGCGTGAACCCGCCACGGCCGCCATACGTGCCCGCGGGCGTCGGCATCCGACCCACGCACGCCGACATCCCACGCACATACGAGTCACACGCCAGCGACAGCACCCGCACCGGCGTGCCCAGCCACAGCCCTAGCTTGCTGCTGCCCTCCGCCTTCTTGCTGCTCATCTCTCTACTTTGTCGCCTCAGCTGCATGAGCATGGAAAAAACCGGCCGAGAGCCAACAAGAAATCACCGTGGGTAACCGAGCGAGATCTGGAAGAGTGGATGCTGATCCCTCATCCACGGATGGAAGGTAGAAGGAGCTGGAGGTTGGGGATGACGGGTGGGGACCATCTATCAGTGAGAGAAGGGGCACCACTTACAAGCCGGGCCCACTTGTCAATCTTCCACATCAGCATCAAATTCCACCTCAACACGCTAGCATAGCGAAACCGCTATGCAAAACCACCACAGGGGTTATTTAAAACGGTTTTGCAAATGTGAGCGGGTTAAATACCTGGTTTTATAGGTTAGAGGGTGAAGGAGTCGAGTCGCAATAGGTGAGGGAGTTACGTAGACTTTTTCCGACTACAAGAGAGAGAGTCTCCACTGGCAATTAGATATTAGCCTTCTCTCTCTCCTTCAGATCACCTATCGTGCCAGCCAGAAATCAACCACCTCCAGCCAACTCCTCACACCAGGCAGGCAGACACTAGCAAAATCGATCACCCATTGTCTCCTCTTCTCTTTTGTGTTCTCAGTTTTGTTGGAGGCAGATTAATTTTATGTTTCCTGCTCCTGCCTCCTGCACCCTAATTCTATGGTAGTCTTCTTCAACGTCGGTTGCGTCCTACATCGCAGCAACAACAAGATCCATCATTTTCCCTTCCAATCGTCTCTACTGCTTTTCGATACAGCTCATGGATCCATGGTATGTTCCTACTGTAGAGGAACGACGACCCAAGAAGAACAGGGACATCGACCCTGTTCAACCCCGACCCTCGATTTGGGACGGCGTCCCTGGGTCATGGATTCATGTCTATTGGCACTAGGGTTTTCCCCTACCGTACATCTTACCATCACACCATAATCCAATGCAAACCTAATCTAAATAGCTCGATTCAAGATAACTTCACAGCAACAAACACGCGACGCAATTTATCGGCTTGGTTGGTTCAACAAACTGAAGGACTAGGAGACAGGGATGCGCGGATGAACCAAAGGACCAAGAAAAAAGAATACAAAGAAATCAGGCAGGGAGAGAGTGAGAGTACAGGCCTTGCTTAGGAAGCAGGCGTCGATAATGTCGGTGTCTCCGCGTTCGCCGGCAAAGGCGTCGGCAACGAGATCGCTTTCCCAATCTCCTCTTCCCTCACTTCCAGAGTTCCAGTAGCGCCGCTTCTCCAGTCCTGCTCCCTCTCTTTTATGGGCCAAAATTGGACCAGGGCCGTAGCGATTTCACGTATTGGAAGTCTGGGCAAAAATTATGAAGCTTACAAATGGCCTAATAGCTTTTCTTCTAGTTTTGGAAGTATATATATGCCCTCATTCATTTTGAGCGATTATACACATTTTCTTATACCAAAATCAAAAAGGTGATTCGCGTTTGAATGTTGAAATTGGACTTCAGTTATTGTTTACTATAGAATATAAATTTGTTCACGTCAATTCCAGCTCCACATTGTTCTGTGAGGCAACCGTTACAAATTATATTTTGGTTCTTTTTTTTTCTTTGACAGTATATATAGATTGATTCTTGTAAACATTGGTCTCACACACACCAGTTCCTTTCCACAAATCTGAATTCCAAACGAAAAACCTAATCTAAACAGCACGGTCAAAAGAGAACAGGAAAAAGACAGAAAGCTGGTCTCTGAGTAGACATCGTGGTTTTTCTTCATATATATTTCAAAAGCTACATCAACATTTTCTTCAAAAACACAAATTACTTAGCAATTAGACAAAAATGAAATCTCAAATACACACGTTATTAAAAACTTCATTCGGTTAGGGAGAAGGCTCGAGCAAACAGGGGTCACAATTATCAACGGGAAAAGTGCTAAACAACCTCTTTTAAATACAATATCACATAGTGGCATCATCTATTCAGATGCAGAAGTCTTCGCTACCCAAAGAAAACAAAAGGCGAAATTTCAGCAACATAAGGCAGGCAAGGATCACTACCCATCTAAGTAGAACATGCTCGGGTACACCCAGAATGGCTGAAGCTCGCCGTACCAGCCCCTGCAAAACTCAAGGTCAGGGTCAGTGGAATCATCCCAAACGACATCTGCATCGTCACCCAGCCCATGCAAGACCCACGGTCGCCTATCATGGGCATAGTACATGCAGTTGCTTCTCCCGCCCCATCGTCCTGAGCTCAAGCAAGAGACTGTCGGGCTCCTCCCATCACCCGCGCAATAAACACGGTATCATTCTCCAGCTTCACCACCTCCAGCCAAGTTGCAGGTTCAGTGGACATGTCCAGGAGGTAGGCTTTGTAGTTGACAGGTGCTCCAGATGATGTTACGCTCAAGTAGTAGTCAACAATTAGAAGCATGCCGCTACATACCACCAGCCATGGCCTTCGAAATGGGCATCCATGCATGTCGTTGTTGTCCCAAGACACAGTTATCATCTCTTGCAGATCGACCAAGCTAGGGGGCCAAGGACCAGTGGCGCGGAGGTAGGAATATTTTCTAGGTGTGGCGGGTTTATAAAGGTCGAACATGTATAATATAACTATCAATTATGCAAGGACACACTAGAACATTATCTAAATATGTATATTACTATATGATCAGCAAATATAACAAAAACCAAAAGTAAAGCATCGGTACATAAAATACCTCACTAAATAAATCTTGTTGTTGGAACAAATACATACCCACAATAAAGCTTTATTTGGGTGCAGACCTTGGCAATGGCATTATTCTTTTTTTTTTCTTTTGAAATTCTTTCTTAATTTCAGCAAGATCAAGTCCCTTGAATAAGCCTCGCTCAATGTAGCACACCATCAGGTCATTAAGCCAAGCATCAGCCATCTTATTGCATAATTCGATCTTAATAATCTTCATAACTGAGAAGGCCCTCTCAACCTGTCGCCACTGGCAGTAGCAACCTCAACTCAATAATACGATAAACTCGAGGGAACATAATATTTCTTTCAAGTCCGTACATCTTTTTAGCTAGGCTTGCAAGATCATAACAAACTCTAAATTCGTCATGCCTTCTCATGTGGTTGATGAATAATGGGAGGTCTGTTTTTATACAGTTACGATCATCCTAGGAGAAATCTGCATCATAGATATCAGTAAGCTTAGCAATTCTGTCCACATCAAATTTGGCAAACGAGTCTCTTGGGTCAAGACAAGCGAAGCCAAGAAGCAAATCTGAAGTCATGTCATTAAAGCGATGATCTAGCTCGGTGGTGATAGCATCTATAGCTGCATAGAATGTATCAACACTGAAAAAATGATCTTGAGTGAAGTTATTTCTCCCCCTTTTTCTTGATCGGCCCCATCTTGACACAGCTTCATCCATATTTGGTACTAGGATATCATTTTCATTGCAAAAGGTTTTGACATCTTCAAATAGTGGATCCCAATCGTTAGCTCTCAAGTTGATCAAGCATGATTTCACATCTGTAACCAAAGACATGGCTTTGAACAATATTTTTATCCTTCTTTTGTAGTAGAAGTGACCTTCTGTTTTAGACTTGAGCTTTGGTTTTTGAAATCTTCATATGCTGTCTTTGCTTGATTGTGGATACTCCTGGCACCACCTACAGTGCCGTGGGCTCTTGAGTCTTGACGTAGGCCCATGAGATACCAGCTCACAAACAAAATCCATCCGGGCATCAGGTCATCAGCAGGGGATGGCGGCCGTGTCATCAACAGGGGATCGAACGGTTTCACGTATATACAGTATATATACTAGTGTTTTGTATACATTTTAGGTATGGCGGCCGTGAAACCTCGCCATACAGCTGCCTCCGCCCCTGCCAAGGACAGTGTAGAGCCTGTAGTAGCTGTCCATCGCGATGAACTGACCATTGAACTCGACAATCTGCTCGATCAGTGAATTACCGAGCTGCATTTCTGACCAAGAATCACTTCCAACTGACCAGTCAAGAAGGGAGAGGCCGGAACGCTGTGCTGGCTGGATACTACACAGACAAGGAGGTGAGAGTTTTGTAGTGCAAGAGGAGCTGTCAGCATGCCAGAGTTGAAAAAAGTGTCATCGTTAAGTTTGAGCTGCAGTGCCCAAACTCTGGCCGGCCCCAGTGAACACATCGACAATGAGGCAATCTTTGCGAAGGCAGCATATTAGCTGACCATAAGAGGAGCCGGCGAAATGCATTGCCTCCTTACATATTTCTTGAGGAATCTGCCAGCAAAGATCTGTTTTTGGATTGGCTAGATCAATGACCTGCCATCTGTGATCTGTGCAGCTCGTGACCGTCAGGTGCACGCACGGGGATATTGGGGGCCTAACGAAGAGAGGTGAGAGCAAGGCATAGAACCTGGATTTGGATGGGTATGACGAGAAGGCAGGTGCTTGCGAAGGCAAGGAGGTCATTGAAGGAGCCCAGGAGGGCAACAATAGACTGGAGCGGGCCTCCAGGGAGAGATCAGCCCACCCTTGAATCCCACATGTAGCAGGGGCTGTTTCTGTGGAGGCAGAGGTGCCAGATATTGTGAATTGTGATAGGGCTTTGCATGATGGCAGACTCACTGCAACAAAAGTAAATTCAATAGATACATAAATTAGATGCATGAATTGAATACAAAATGAGAAATAGGCAGATAACTTCCAAGAGACAAAGACAACCCCACAAAACAACTGCATGACACAATTTGTTGGCCTGATTTGAGTCGAGAAGAGAATGGTCTTGCAAAATGAACAGAG